TGAGTTTTACCAGCTACTTCTGAATTTGTACATTATTTGTGAGGAAGGAAAAACCCTAAGACCTGTCTAACTTCGTGGAGAATGTGTGTTGGGGGGTTTAGGATGGGTAGCTAAGTCTTAATTGCGCTGTGTTATCTAACTTGTATATAAAAATTGTAATTAAAGTTTGGATTCACCTGTTTTCTCATGGTTTAAAAAGATAATTGCAGACTCTGGAAATGTGACTAGTGTGTGCTTGAAGGCTATAGAATCAAAGAAGCTCTTTGAAGTTCTAAAATGAAAGACTTCTAGTTCTTGGCTCAAATTCAATAAGTACTGTTTGTATACGAGACTATGTAAGATGTAAATGTCTTAGCTCACTTCACCCTTGTAGCTATAAAATTAAAAAAAAATTTGTAGAAGAGAAATAGCTCATACTACTGAATTAACAAAAGTTATACTAAAGTATCCTGTTTGTTTTTAAAAAGGATATATATACACACACAGAGTTAAGCTTGTTGCTGTTACCCTGTCTGAATTTGAAAAGTGTGTATTTTATATGTATAAAATTTTTATATATAAAATATACACACATATCCATCTGAAATGGCCTAAAGCAGACATCTGTGTAACTACAGTTGCAAAATGAAAATATTTGGAAAGAACATTGTATCATAGTCCATACATTTGCAGTGGATCTTTGTTCCTTTTTTTTACTGTGGTAATTTTAGAAATGAGTGTCAAGTTTGAAATTAGATGTGCTACGTTGGGGTTTTGCTGCTTGAATTCTGCACTGGGTCCTCAAATAAACCGATGTGAATGTAGTTTTCCCTTCCCCCTGCCCCCCTGTGTGAAGAAGCAGCCACACCCCAGCAGACTAGGAGGGGGAAAAAAATTAAAAATCTAGAACTATTTCAAGTTTTATCTTTTTGTATCTGAAAAATAAAAGAATAATTAAAAAACTCTGTTGTCTAATCTCTTAATCACTTAGCAAGGAATTGAAGTTTCCTTTCGTTTAACAGTACTCAGTTATGTCCTCACTTGCAGGGCTGAATGGATGACTTCTTCAGTTCTTGAGTAGGCCCATGTAGTTAGTGGTCACCTGGTCCACCCTAGGCCTCTGGGGCTAGAGCCAAGCAGGGTCTCCATTTCTGCCTTTGGCCGGGGGTTTGGTGGGGACAGTGGGCTCATCTTTAGACACCAGTTTTCCAGGAAACTGGACAGGGGTGCATGTTCTGAATCCGCAGGGTACCTCTATAGAACCTCCCCTTCCCACCGGAGCAAAGCAGCCTGGGAGCTAAGTTGTGTTCAGGAGATCTACAGAATACACTCTCTGAGGTTCCCGCACTTGCTGTACAGTTATGGGGGCCCTCAACTCAGACCTGACATAGCAAAGCTGTTCTCATGTCTTGGAGTTACTGATTTCTCTCACACGATGAAAACTTGGATCCCCATTAATGAAACTGATGGTTCGTGCTGTTGGGAACAGTTGATCCTAATATAGTGCAAGTCCACGGGACATAACCTGCCCTGCAGTGTTTTCTGGTCTGTAACCTCAGTATCAGTTTATCAGAGCTGCTTCCTGTGGAACCTTTGGGTGACTTCAATGCCAGCCTTGCCCTTAGAAGTGGAAGGCTTTACCACTGCACCACCAGGAAGCACAAAGATCACCTCACTGCTTCCTACAGCAAAGTCCCTTCTCAGAGGAGGAGAGGGAAGCAGAGGCTGACCTTTTTTGAATACACTTGGCCTAGAAATGCTGAAAAGTAATTTCTTGGAAGTCATCTAGTCAAACATTAGCAATCATTTTTCATTTGTATATTTTTGGTGGAAATTTTCATTTGTGGGTTACATTTTTGTGGAAAAATACAATACTAAAATAACAGCAAAACAATACTTCTATTCAAAAATGTCTACAGAGTTCAGTGACATTCTCACATTCCCTCGGGCCAACATTCTCGTTAGCTGCATTCTAGTTATTACATCAGCTTCTGACTGGCCTTGACCTTCTCATCTATGCTTACAGCAGCTTTTGTTCACTTGAACTCATGTAGATAATTTTAAAAAAGAGCACAGGACTCAAGGATGTCGTTCTTACATGTTTGTAGGTTTTGTTTTTTTTTTGTTAACAAATAATCCTTTATTGAAATATTTTCATCTGTAGTTCCTTAGCTAGCTGGGCATTCCACAGCACCACTGTTGATGTCTTCTATGATGTCATGAGGGTGACGGCCATCAACATTGCAGCCCACAGATTGGGCAGTTCCCAGGATCTCTTTAATAGTTCCAGAGAGTTCTCTGGCTAAAGACCGGTGTCGCATCTGCCGGGCAATGCCAACAATCTCATCAAAAGTGGTATTTCCACTGTGCTTAATATTTTTCTGCTGCTTTCTGTCTCTGGGTGGTTCCTTTAGGGCTTTGATGATCAGGGCAGAGGCAGAAGGCACCACTTCAATCTGGGCCTGTCTGTTCTGAATGGTCAGTTTCACTGTAATCCTTAGTCCCTTCCAGTCACCGGTGGCCTTGGCAATGTCATCACCAACCTTTCTTGGAGACAGACCCAGGGGGCCGATCTTGGGGGCCAGAAAGGAAGTGGCACCGACTTCCCCACCGGTACACCTCAGGTACACGACTTTAATCTCGTTGGGGTCGAACTTGGGCGGCATGGCGGAGGCGGCTGGTGTCGGATGAACCCAGATGCGGGACGACCAAAGAAAGTTGCACCGAGGCCTCCTCCGAGCCGAAAGCCATGTTTGTAGTTTTAAGGTGAGTTCAGAGAATGACCTCATGAAAATGAACATCATCAAGAGATTCGATACAAGCCGGTACCTGGTACCTGAGTTAGTAGAGGAGCACTTCGGCCATTCTCTTTACCTTCCTACTCCTTCCAAGTAGGTGGTCTGCTAAGAGGGGTTAATCCTTGAAAATGCTATCAGGCCACACCCATGTTTATTGCATTATTCACAACAGCAAAATGATGGAGGCAACCCAAGTGCCCATCAACAAATGGATAGAAAAACTATGGTACATTAACTCACTGGAATATTATACATCGAAAAACAATAAACTCATAAAATATTATGTAATGTGTGGGATGTATTCTGTCTCCATACCTTTTCAATCAGTATGTAGAACAGATCATCCAAGACACTGGGCTGCACGAGGAGGAATGTGGCATCAGGATTGGTGGAAGAGTCATTAACAACCTGTGTTATGCAGATGACAAAACCCTGCTTGCTGAAACTGAGGAGGACCTGACGCGCTTGCTGCAGAAGGTCAAGTATTGCAGCCTCCTATATGGATTGAAGCTCAACATCAAGAAAACAAAGATTCTCACCACTGGGCCAATTGGCAACATCAGTATGGATGGTGAAGAGATTGAGATAGTTAACAGTTTTAGTTTACTTGGCTCCATAGTCAACAACACTCTTGGTAACAGCAGCCAGGAAATCAAGAGATGAATTGCATTGGGAAAATCAGCTGTGAGGGACCTCTCAAGAGTACTGAAGAGTAACAACGTCAGGCTGGAGACTAAGATGCGCCTGATGCAGGCTATAGTCTTTGCAATTACGTGCTATGCATCAGAGAGTTGGACAGTGAATAGGGATGATAGAGAATTGATATCTTTGAGCTGTTGTGCTGGAGAAGAGTATTGAATATACCATGGACTGCTAGGAGAACAAACAGGTTTGTCCTGGAGAAGGTGAAGCCTAACGCTCCTTGGAGTCAAGGATTCTGAAGCTTCGTCTGATATACTTTGGGCATGTTGCCAAGGAGGGACATCATGTTTGGCCGAGGAGAGGAAGGCCCTTAATGAGATGGATCAATTCTGTGACTGCAGTGGTGGGAAAGAGTGCGTTTGAGATGGCTAGGTTAGCACAGGATAGAAAGGCATTTAGGGCTCTTGAAGTGTCGCTGTGAGTTGCAAGGGACTCCATGGCACATAACAGCAAAAATGTGTGGGAGCCTGAAGGGCATTATGCTGCATGAAAAATCTGTCTCAAAAGGACAAACATTGCATAACACTGCTGCTATAATACAGGACAGATATGGGGGGGGGGGTGTTGGCCAGAGAATGGGAAAATTGAATAATAAACACTGCATTAGGATGGATAAAGAGAAGAACTCATCAAAAGGATTATATGATTAGGCATTGTATGTATGACCATCTAGAACAAAAGCAGCATTTTAGGTGGGCTGAAGGAGAGGAGAAAATGCGCAACAATTAAAAATATTTTTAAAATGATGACCTCATTCTTAAAAAGGTGGAGGGTGAGCTGAAGATGATTGACACAGTAATCAAATGAGACAGACTTTTCTTTTTTTTTTGTTTTCGTTCTTTCTTAGACTTTTCCTTTACCATAATATAAATCCCTTTATTTGCCTCTTTTATGATGTGATTTTTAAATATCACAAGTACATATAATGAAAAATTCACTAAATAATACGGTAAATTTGGCCTTCAATAACACAGCATATTTAATTTTTTTTTGAGACCAACTCTTTATACCGTTTCACGCACACTTTTATTGATTTTAAACCATGTTTAAGGATCCTTGTTCTGTTTCATCAGTTGGTCTGTTTCATGCACAATTCTACTTTGCTCCCAGAATGGTGGTGGTTCTGTGCTATGACAGTTCAGTGGCTTTTCAGATGCTGTAAAGCACGTGGGAGGAGACTGCCCATCAGGCTCCCGCAGAGCAGCTGATGGATTCGAACCTCGTGGCTTCAGGTTGGCAGCGCAACTCCTTACTACTTAAACCCCGAGAACTCCACCCTGTAGGGCAGGTGAGTCTGAACAGAGTGGAAAAGCAGTAAGTTTGGCTGGAATTGCGCCTGGACGTTCCCCCACCTGGCAGCAGGGGGCGGTGCGGCAGGACCGAGCAGGGAGGGAATGCGCATGCGCTCAGAACCTGGCGTGGGAGCTGCGCATGCGTCCCTTGTTCCCGCGGTTGGGATTGGCTCCGGGGCGTGGGGCGCGCTGTGTGCGCATGCGCGGAGGTTTCCGCGGGCCGGGAGCGATGGCGGCCAAGTCCTCGGCCTCCCGTCTCCGGGGCTCACGGCGGTTTCTGAGCGGCTTCGTGGCCGGCGCGGTGGTGGGCGCCGCGGGGGCTGGCCTGGCGGCTCTGCAGTTCCTTCGGGGCCGGGGATCGGAGACAGCGGTGGCGGTGCGGGAGCCGGATGGTAAGGCTGCGGGCTCGCCCTCGGGCGTCGCGGGCTGTGCCCACCTGTCAGCTGTCATGTTTCCTCCCGACCTCGCCCCGCTTGCCTCCTCCACGCGCTTCCTTCCCAGATCGCTCCTCTCCAGACAGTTCATCAGGAGGTGTTTGTGATGAGTGGGCCGCCCCCAGATCGTCTGTGTGATGTCCCTGTCCTTCTCCATCATACACTCGGCTCGGGGCCCGGGACTCGGTTGACATTAAGGACCTAGAGATGAATCTGAATCCGCTCACACGTGCTGTTAGCAGTATAGGAGCGATGGCTGGCACCGTGGGCCTCTGTGCCATTCCATCTCTTTTATATTATTATTGTTAATTATAATGAAAGACTTTGGATTTCCATTCAGTCATTGTTGCACTTTTCTCCCTGCCCAACCTCTGCCCCCCAGTTTGCTCTTTTCTTTGAAAAGTAAAAAAAAAAAAAAGTCATTGTTATACAATCCCTCCCCCCGAAGTCCACTCCACTATGCAGCCTTCGTTTAGAAAATTAAAAAAATAAACTCTTTCATTGTTATACAGTCTCTCCCCCCTGGTCTGCTCTATTATGCAACCTTCCTCATGACAATAATGTTGTTGTTGTTGTT